ATGTGGTCAAAGAAGGAAAAACATTTCATGCAGGCTTTTATTTAGAAATCCTCCACGCCAACGAGGGTTTTCCAACCTCATACACAAGATAAATATTTTCACAGGGAATGTTAGAAATTCTTGTGAACACACCAATGAATAGACAAAAGGGTGACTGTACAGTTAGAGTTCTTTTTTCTTTTCTTTTTTTATTCACCGAGACAGTCTATTTAAAGAAAAAAAAAATTCCACATCATATATTTTATTAGTGTCAAGACATCCCCTCATGATTCACCTGAAAGAATATTAGCATGCAGTATCGCAGAATGATTCAGGGTCAGAGGCGATTTATGGATTGCATGTCCAAATACTGTAAATCAATAGCAGCTCCTCTCTCATTTGCAAAAGAAGCGCACAACCTGGCTTTTAAATTACATATCGTATTGATATTCAGTGAAAAAAAATCGACAAGTGGAATTAAATACTTGCTTTCCATGCAAATTAACACGCTCCAGTTGTCTCAAATGAAGTGACATGCATACAATAGACCCTGAATTAATAAACTGTGAGATGGCTGTGATACTGTGTGTTGCTATAACATGTTATTTGACATGTTAAAAGAAAACAGGGCCATCGATAAACCAAATGAATTGTTAAAATAGATTTTTTTTTCTGGCCTACATCAAGAATAATGATGTGTTGCTTAACCTGGCATGTGATGAAGGTGTTTAATCAGCCGCTATACGTGAGAGTTGTCGCTTCCTGATAGATTATATTGTAGATATTATCTGCTGCAATGATGTCATTGCTGTGGGGGATAGACATTGTCGCTGTTTTTTATTAGTGCTGGCTGCTGAATTTCCAGTTTTCTTAGAATTAGAATCAGTTAAAACATTGATTCATGGTAATTTATGGCTTTGCAGATTCGTCCGTGATAAAAACAAACAAATTGACTCATAGCTTTGGCTATCATTAATACGAAGTCTTCTATGTTTGATTAGATATGATCTCACATCGGCAACACAACTAGAAATATCTATTTTCCTATTTAACCTGTGTGCCCCTTTTAAAAACAGACTACTGCTGCTTCTTCCTGTGAATAAAACCAGTTAACAATACTCCTAGATGATGGAAGAAGGTTTGCTATTTAATTCAAAGACACACAGTCAAAATTGATTTTAATGCATGCTAACATCTCCAGCATTATTGCACTTCATGTTCAAATGCTGCCTTAATCTGAACTAATCTCCTTCTCTTTTGTTTGCTTGCGTTCACAACAAAAGCCGGTGGTCCCCTCTGATCCGCGTGGCCCCTCATCAAAGACGTGAACTATGGGTCCACCTGCACATTTTAGGCATCAAAGATGCACAAGTGTTTGATCGTCACGCACCTTCTTTGTCAGGAGTATGCAGGCTGAAAACTGATACTGGTGTGTTATCTTTTGAGATGTTTTAGTGGGATCAAGTAACAGAAACCCTCAGGTTTTTTTTTTCAGCTCTGGGACTGCAGCCGGTCCCTTGTCACACCAGCATGTCCAGTCGTCTGTCAGGATAATGTCTGCAGAGGGAGCAGAGAGGCTCCAGTGTTACCAAGGGTGTTCTTGAACAAAAAGCCACAAAGAAAGAAGGGGAATCACGTTATATGATAATCCTATGGGACCCAAAAGTAAATCCTGGTTAACGCTGAGCTGTGGGGTATTGATTGGCTCCTGAGCACCGATAATGTTGATGTTATTTTTGGAGACAGGACAGAAGGAGCCTTTAAAGTTGAGTATCTTTCATTAAAGGCAGCGGTCGGGTCAGTGGGGGATGACTGGGAACATGAATTTAACAAGCAGATTTTGGCAAGTGGTTTGAGTTCAAATAGTGGTTTATTATCTGTAACTTTGCACCTTGATGGAAAAAAATAGGCACAGCGCTGCTGCATTGTATGTTGTGTATCCTGTATGTTTTATTGACTGATTGACTCATAAGCCAGCGTTTCATTCCGGTCTATTTATAGAGGTCAACACATGTTGCTAATGGAGACTCATTGTAAATATAGGTGTGTCGAAAAATGCTGTGACATAAGTTAGAGATGAAATCCAGTCAGACAACCATGCCCTCTTTAACTTGGTTTATAGTCTGAGTTCACAACAGGAGGAGGCTTTTCCCAGTCAATGAGAGCATGGCGTCGGAGAGATACGTGTCCCACAGGCTGCAGGAGACATCAGGACCGCACACAGACAGTGTGTTTCCTTCACTGCACACTATAAAAACCCTCACCACACATGGCTATAATAAGCCAACAAATTAAGCCATTATACTGTTTTTAAGGTACACAGACATCCGCGTTTAAATATTTTAAGAGTGGCAAGGGATCTCTCACCCCAAGTTGCATTGTATGTCTGAGACCACCAGGGAAATGATCCATCTTATCATTAGAGAGCTGTGAGTTGATTTGTATGATACAAAGAATCATTTCCAAAGAACAGGCCAGTGTCCTCAACACTCTGCTTACTCTCACTGAACAGAACGTTGTGTTTTTATCAATGACAAGGGAATTTGTATCTGATGGGAATTGTGTTTTGAGTTTGATTTCACCATCTCCGTCATAGCTAGAGACAGTGTCTGCTATTTAGGATGTGTTAATACGGACATATTACCATTTCAGCGGAGAGACATTCAGGTCCAACTATTCGGCTCAATGCAAAATGGGCCCAAGGCAAGATGGCGACTTAAGCCAAATCTAATGATGGTGTGCGAGTGTGTGTTCACTCCCACTCTGCATACAGTTTAAGAGCAACACCTATAAAACTTCATTATGCTGCTGCTGTAATGGGGTTCAGGAAAGTACTCCAGGAGCTGACAAAAGCAGGAGTGTCTTGTAAACCCTTGAGGGAACTTTCTAATTAAATACTCACTCCTTAACTCCAATAAATAGCAAGGATTTCAAGCTTTTCCTACATGTCATAATTTCTCCATACCTTGGGCAATGAAATGATGCCAGAAGTTGGGAGTCCATCGTGAGGAATTCAGTCAGGATGGTTTTAATAGTTTTCCATGTAGAATTGTTTTTCCAAGCTACTGTGAAACTGGGAGGCGAGAGCTGTAGGGAAAGGGCTTCCCTGGGATGTTGGCAAGCATCTCGTATGCCATATGTGAGGGGTTGATAGAGAAAATCTGTCTACGCCACATTTCAGATGAGTTGTATCATCAGTAGATGGCAGTAGGTCGAACTCCTCTGCGGATATAAGCATAGACAGGTGTGTATCTGGTTTTCCTTTGTACATGATGTTTGTCTGAGGATGGAGCTGCCAAAAATGATTTAATACATGCATTTGAGGGAAGTAAACAAATAGATAACCACACAATCTTCATTTTAAATGTTTGCTGAAGCATTTTTTTTGGTAAAATATCTAAGAATGTTAATTTACTTCTCGTTAAACTTTGTGTGTTTATCTACCACCCATGTTACACATAAAGCTCAGTTGTCACATTGAGTGGGTCTGTGAAAACAACCATATGTCTTCTGCAGCCTGTCAATCTGCAGCCTGTCAATCTGAAGTAAATAATTCCTGGTTATGTCGATCATGGTTATCTCGGCTTTCAGATTTTAAGGTCATAACAGAAAACCAACGTTACAAACTGAAAGTGTGGAGTTTTAATGACTTGGGTGTCTATAAATGTCAAACGATGCGACTGAGTTGCCTCAGGGAGGATGAAGGATCCCCATACTGACCCATCAGGCTTCACTTTCAACCACTCTCCATTTAATCTCTTTTATGGATGTAAAACTCAAAACTGCAGTTTTTTAAATTGTGTTGCCGTATGAAGTCGCATACTGCTTGTAATGTTAGTTTTCCTCGTAGAAAATAGAATCAGATCAGGGCCCAGTTCCATATATATACACTATAAAGCATTCTATTCTATTCTATTCTATTCTATTCTATTCTATTCTATTCTATTCTATTCTATAGGATATCTCTAGTGTCAAATCGGTGTAAAATTTGCTCTTAGATTAGTCTCTTGCAAGTTCGGCAGTTTTAGAAAGATAAAGAATGACTCATTTCAAGCGTACAAAGTTTGCTGTGCGACGGGCACCTATGCTAACCTAGACCTCAGACACGTTTCCATGGTAACAGTCAGTGACACCTACTGACGAAAAGAGGGAACGCATGACTCATGTAATTTGCGGTTTGCAGATACGATTGTGAAACAGTGAGAAGGGAAACAGTTTTGTGAGCCATGCTGAAAAGCGACCTTAATTGTCCTTTGTCATTGTTTTGTTGCATTGTTAGATTCTTTGCCAAACTTTCTAATTTAAATATCCTTGAAAGTCTTCAAGGAGGAACATTGTGCTGCATGGTGTGACTGGCACTCAGATGCTTATTTTTTGTGGGTGGAAAAAAAAGCCTTATTGCACATGTTGTATTGTAGAATGCTTTTGTGGCAAAGGAGTCCTACTGAGGATGTCAATGTCAGACTTAAGAACTAAAGTAACCAGCGTTTGTGAAGCTGAACCCAGTTATGTTGCCAACTTTTGATAGTTAATGGGTCCTGCTGAGGATATAAAAAACATTAGACTTTAGATCTGTGACATCTAAGGTTGGGAAACTGGTTCCAGTTACTGGTTATATGTTTGGATGATACAGAAACATATTAGAAAATAGAGAGAGAACCAAGCAGCACCCAGGAATAAAATCACTATATGCTCCATTGCAGCTGTGTGTTTGTTGTTGTTGTTGTTTACTGCGAGGATCACACTAATTTCTTTCTATTTTTTACTGCACTGCATTGCAAGTTGTAATAACAGATCATGATTTCCATTCAGATCCTCCCTCGCAGGCCCTGCTCATTGACCAGACAGCCCCATGTTTTGAACACAGCGCAGGACTATGCAGCACAGTCTACCTGCTTCAACGCTCCTCGTGCCTGTCAGTCACGGCGGGATCGTCCAATCGCAGGGCGCATGCAGCTCCGTGACTCCTCCCCAGTGTATAATTGAAGTTTCTTTAGTTTCTTCGCCGGAGCCTGCACGCAGTGTTGTCCGATCCGCGGAGGGATTAAATGCACAGCAGCGGGACAATGTTTTCCAGGAGCCTGAACGTGTGTGTGACCCTGTGTTTGTGGATTACGGCGTTAACGAGCCCGGGAAGTGTGTGCGCGAGGAAGCAGGACGACTCTTTCTTCACTGCCAGCATTTATCGAGCAAGATGCGCCTCGAGATGCCTCAGTCTGCACATCACTCGCATCTCTGCTTTTTTCAAGCACTCTCAGGTACGAGCAACAAGAAATCAAGAAAAAAAAAAAAGATGCTGTTATTTATTTATTTTTTTCCTAATGAATGGGAACGTGCTCGTCGATGCTTGCCACTGTAAGTCAAACCTGTTTCTCTGGAGCCCCATTGTGAGATGAGAGGAGCAGGTCACTAATGGAGCTGTAGACTTCATTAGTTTTGTTTTCTCCCGCAATTTAAGAGCATTCACCTCCTGTCAAGCGTAATTGCAGCACCAGTTGCACCACAATATGATAGTTTGAGTTGCTTGCAAAGTTGCACAATCTGGTGTGCAGGAGTGGGACACTTTTAAAAAAATATATCTTCTCCTAATTAACACATTGCAGGGTTTTTGGGTCTTAGAGATGATGAATGCCTCTCAGTGGAGCCAGTTTCCATTCATTACTTGCTAATTACTGGAAAATGAGATACCACTTCTCTCAATACAAATGTGCTGGCTGCTCCTACCTCACAGAGTGGGGATTTTTTTTTTTTTTCTACTCTGGTGTCCCCACAAAGCAATGTAGTGATGCAGACCTGCTTGGAAGCGACCATAAATTAGCTGTAGGTTTTTGGATGATTCAGTTTGTGGTGTCAGAAGTTGTTTTTCACCCTCCACTGGACACACTGTTCTTCTCCCAGGACTCTGGAGTAAAGAGCCGGTCACTGATCCTTCTCCCCTCTGCTCCTTTTCACCAGCTATCTATCTGCTGACTGCCTTTATGCTCACTTCATTTGCATTTACAAGGCTTGTCTCTCTTTCAAGGTGCATTAAAGAAACCCTAATTCAGTTATCAATTATTATTTAAATTCAGCCTGCTCCACAGTGTTTCCTAACAATCTGGATGATTGTCAGGAAACATGGTGGAGCAGGCGAAATTTGTAATTAGGTCTAATGAATGAGCGGAGAGCATAGCTTGTGTCTTTGTTACCAATTAATTTAACTTTGAAAGCACCTATTGATTTAGTGTAGTAGCTCTCAGTGCAGGTCTCTGGGACGTGGACCCGCTGCGGTTAATTCGAGCAACTTTATTAAGGGATAATATACAACTGGGCTGCAGGATGAATGCACTCAACTGCAATGAACATCCTGCGAGGATAGAAAATAGCAGTGCTGTGCATCCAAAAAACACAGATTGAAACCAGTGTTTCTTAAAGTGAAAACTTGGCAAGTCAGGTCTGGGATTTGTTTTGAGAAGATTCCAAGAGTGTGTTGCAGGCCAGGCTTGCAAAGTTGGGAAATGAAATTAGTCACCAGCTAAGAAGTCAAATAACTGATGGAGTCTCACCTCTAAGGAGCAGCTAATAGTCAACATAATTGAGTGCAGAGCCCCGGAGTCTGAGGGGGGAAAATGAGAGGGAGGTATTTGTCTAAAGAGAGAGGGAGGCAATTTTTGTGGTTAGTGATAAGCAAAGGTTGCTTGAGCGGGCTCGTGGGTCTAAGAATAGACGGCAATTGTTGATAATCTGTGAGGACTGTCTTATGCCTTGTGTTCTCAACGGGCCTTTCATGTGAGAATGGGGGGTCTGGTCAGCTGCAAAAACATATGGCTCTCTCCCCCCACCCCATCCCACCTCCACCCCCCTTGCCCTCTACCCCCTGGCCCTGCCAATAAATGCCAGCATCACACCTCGTAGGCATGTACAGGATACACAGCCGGGCTACCGGCGCTGCTCCGCCGAGGTCACCTTCCTGCTAAACGCTGGCGCCCAATTGTGCTAAATGTGATAAGCTCTAATGTAGTGTTGCCACAACAGCCGAGCATGCTCAGTCAGCACAACCTACAGGTGGATCTGCTTCCTCTGCCAGATCTTATTACAGCGGCGGGCCGACAGGCAGCTCAGAGCTCCACTCCGGTGATTGAGACGACAGACCTCTTAATTCAACTCGGACATCCTTCAGGGGTCATTTAATACTCGATAGGAAAACCAAGACATACAACACTTTCCATTTTAATGGAAATGAAACGCCTCGGCTGTGTGTCAAAGCAGTGACTTTTTGCCTACTGTTTCTTCGTATTTTACTGTGTCTACTTAATATCTAGTAATCTATATGGGCCACTACTTATTTTGGTTATGGTACAAGAGGCAATTTGTCCTCTCGACACATTTTGCAGCTGGAATGTATAATGTTTTTCGTATTAGCTTTAATTTGATCATTCTGCGAACACTGGAATACTTGGAGAACGCAGATGTTATTACAGATGTTAAGAACACCCACGCGTCTTTCCTTTTTATGTGCCCGAATCAGAATACAAATCAGAGACTTTGTTTTAATTGCCACAGCTCTGAATTAGTGTGAAATGGAAACAAGCATGGAGTTGCAGAGTTAGGAAACCCATGGGTAGTCCTTTGGTTGTCAGATTTATAGCAGCTGTAGATTTATTGATGTAATAGTATTTCCAAATACAGATTTATCGACATTTTACTCCACTTTTGGGGAACTTGTCACCCCTGTACAATAGACAGAAGGGAACACCCAACCATAAATATTAGCCTCGGACACTTTAAAATATTAAGAGCGAACTGGGAGCCCTGTGCAATAATGTATTCTGAAAGCATCAGCCTTGTAGTGGATTATTTATGTGGGGACCTGTGAAGCCAAAAACAAGGTGTGTCCATGAGGTCTTGTTATTACATTCAAAGCAATAAAAACCTAACATTTTAAATTCAGTCATTCATTTCTAATGTGCTGCACAGTAAAGTCTAAGCATCTTGCTTGAGAGATTTGTGTTTTAAGCGAGGGGAAGAAAAAACATTGGAAAGGAGTTTTTCCGTGTCCCCTTGTTTTCGCCTTTGATATTAAATAACCTGCGGTGGAATCAGACCTCAGCCAGTGCTCGTCTCATGTGTGGGGTTTTTCATTAGTGAAGACAGCGGATGAATAGGGGTCTATGTAGCTTGGCCTCACCTCTCTGTAAATGCTTTTAAACCATGACAGTTCTGTCTGTAAATCTCAGCCCCCAGTGCTGCTACACCCTCAGCTACCTCATTTGACAAATAGCCTTCATTCCTAAGTGGAGACAACTTTACACCAGTGTTGTTTGAGATTTCTGAAACACCCTTTTATGTTAACATTGGATGTGCGCTGAACACATTAGCTCACTTTCAGAGCGTCTGTCGAATAATTCATATAAAGTGAATAATTAATGGGTAGAATGACCACAGCCCTCACACCCACTCAAGTCAAAGCCTAAATCTTGAGGCCCTTTATTTTAGTGCTGCATATGTGCCCTCAAGGAGAAGTTATTTTGGTGATTCCTGAGGACCCCTGAGCTGTCAAAGGACAGACAGAGACACCAGTCTGTCCTTTGAAGTCCTGTCTCCTGTTAACTTGGCTAGAAATGTACAAGGTCTCTTAGACCAGCAGTATTTTCCAGCAGTTAAATCCTGGAATACGTACGGGCATGATTAAATGCAATTTGAAAAGAAGTCGTCAATGTAAACGGAAATCCATTTAATCCAAATCAGCAGCACTCAGGAAACAAAGATTTCCATTTTCAAAAGGTGGAATGGTATCCTCACACATAAAAGACGTTTTGTCCATGTTCCTCTCAGTTGTCTAGACAATACAGCACGCCCCTGGCCACCTGCTCTGACTTCTCAGCTGACAACAGCCGTAATGTATCTGTGTGATAAATGCTCTGTTTACATGACTCCTTTAGTCACTCCACTGTCACCGAGAAAGCAGAGTTCACCTTAGCCACACATTTGTAGACCACTGTCTGGCCTCCTCTCCTCGACCCAGTCACACAGGAGAATATCTGGAAAGAATTCATTCGCTGGAGTCCTTGACAGTCCTCAGCACTGCATAATGTTCAGACTGCAGAGGAATGTCATGGTGAGTCAGAGGGATGAAGTCCTGACCTATAATTATTCCCCCGTTGGTCCCTGAAATGGTGGGGTCAGGCCTGGACAGCTGGGGCAACATCCTGCTGAGCTTCTCTGCTACGGGGATGCTGTCACACAGCAAAATTAGCTCCTCTGTGGATCTGGCCCTGTCTCCATTGATGGATGGGCAAAGAAAGGTGTCAAAAACAGGATTGATGATTTAGGACATGGTCTGGAGTTGTGACACTCCGTATAAATTATCTGCAGGCATTGCCTGCCTGTGTAAATGTCATCGATTTATTTATGTGGTGCCACCAACGAGGTTTGGCTCAGTGGGGTTTATCATTCTTTAAAATTTATTTAGTTGCTCCACAAGGAATTTAATCATATGATACAGGACAACATGATATAATAGTTGGGAATAAATCATATTTTAACCAACATTTGACCAAACAGACAGAGAATATTTCACATAAAAGGGCAGAAAACCTGCTGATGCACACGAAAGCCCTCGGCCAAATTAGCTCTCCTTTCTGCTTCATTTGGTAACAAAATTAAACAACTATTCCATGTCTCCTTAGTGCTCATATTTTTCATCCTTATCTGCAGTTTTTTTGTGGAAGAGATTTTCTGTAGACATGACCATCCAGTCATAGATCCCTTTGAAGCCTTTTGACCATTATCCTTGACACTAAAAGCACAGCACTTACTGGTACTGGATGTCAAATTAAACCCTTTAATGATAACTTCTCTCTCAATGTCTCATGGGAAATTTCTTCTGGATTACATTGTGGGAAAAGACTTTGAACTTGACATTGAACTTAAGCAGACCTTTTGCCTGCACGCCCCTAAAGTTTGGCTGTATCTCACTGCTTCAGTGCTTTCATAGCGACGCACAAGGATCATCCAAAACTCAAGGCCAGATCCCGGTCATTAACTGTAATGAATTCCATTAATGTAACTCGAAACTTGGAGACCCCATTGAGAACATTTTCAGTGGATTATTTGTCAATTACTCATAGGCCTAGAAAAGAATAAAGAAAAGAGGCTGCAAAAAATTACTGTGCAACTAGATCAAATGATTGTGTGTAATCGTAAACTGTATATAAAAGATGGGCTACCATTTTGACACCTTGAGTTGTTCATTTGGCCGTCACCGTCTTGGCTTTTTGAAACCGGACATAATGAGCAAGGGATTAATCTGATTGAAAACACAAAGACGCTCATGCTGATACAGTAGCGACTTGTCAATCACAAGGTAGCGCCGCTCTAAGGCATAACTTTAATGCAAAACAGTGTGCTTTATTAAATAACACTTGAAACTAGCAAACAAGGCTATAAGCGCTTTAGGAAAATGTTTAGTGAGGTAACAAATCAAGAGAAAAGTAGGGTCATTTTCTCATAGAGCTCGACTTAATCTTGCAAACAGAGGATTCGCCCCCTGCTGGTCATTTGAAATAATGTATGTTTAAGTCTCATCTGCGTTGGTTTCGCTTTTCAGACCCAGACTCTTCATTCATAAACACAGCATGCAAATGATATTCTTTTCTGACTTAGAGTAGAGAAAAAGTTTAAAATCTAATTCCGTTTGTTACACTTAGATAAGGATTAAATGAAGCCAGTTGTTCACAAACAGTGAGTTGTTCAGCTGGTGAAAAGTTCCTGAACATTGAGTTAATCCACATCCTAGTCAGGTGTGGCTGTAAAAGACAATATGTCAGAAAAGATGACAAATACAAAGACAAAGATCCCCCTTTGACCAGTGACGCAAAAGACTGCCTTAAAATGCAGCTTTATTCAAATAGCACAATGCCACAGATGACAAGAGAAAGACAAGAACAGGCTGCTGGCATGGATACTTAAATGGCCACAACTCCAAAATTTGTCATCTAGAAAATCATATATCATATGTGTGACTTGTTTGGGATTCCATGTCTATGAACCCACTCTGGATCCGCTCATAGTGCATACTTAGTTGTTCCATGACGTCCATTCTGTTGCAGCGATGCCATGTGTTGGAACAATACAGTTCAATAGAATTTAATGAAATGTTTCATGCTGGTTTTATTTTTTTCTGTAAAAAAACTATTGAAAAAATACAGTCTGTTTGGTGGTAACATGTTGATGAACCCACTCGATGTCACAGTTCTTGTCTTCTCTGTGCTACTTTTAATCATCTTTCAGGTTGATCATTTGGTTTTACGAACTGTATTTTTACTCTTTTGGGTCACTCGCCATTCTCATAGCATTGTTCTCTCTCTTAGCATGTCAACAGAGTAAACAGGAAGAGACGCTATTAAATTTAAACTCATCAAAAGACCAAAAACTCAACTCTGAATGAATGCTTTGTGTCTGCTGCATGTAGAAATAAGCAACTGTTTCATAATACCAGCCTAAAAATGGGGTAATGTGTCAGAATGCTGTGTTTACTGCATAGTTCTGCTGCCTACAACAGGGCAGAAAATCAGCTATTGCAAATGTCAAGCGCTGACCTGAACGTCCCATTTTCTGATGCGCAGCACATGAAAACATTTAATTTTTTTTAACGTGGCTTTCAACTGGTCATTTTCTCTGAAGCACGCACCTTTCACTTTCCATCCAGACATGATTATGTTTACAGAGAATAACAGCGTAATTCTTTGTCCTAATGGAAAGGAAAACAGGAAATTACCACTTGCCCAAGCCATTTACCTACACGGGTCCTCTGCTTGATAATCCTTCATATTTGCACATCGAAGCTTCATAAATACACAGCGCTATTAGGACCAAATGTTTGCCTTGTTGGAGTGCAGAAGGTGGCACTTCCACAGCAATTAGAGGAAATTGGCAGTATGTGCAGTCCACACAGGAGTGCTGACATCAGTTCCTGCCTCAGTGACCTCGGGGACGTCTGTTGAGAGATCAAACAAATCCTCAGAAAAGCTGAGGTCACCGTGCTCTGCTGAAACTGACCAGAGGTTTTGCCCCAGCCTCGGCACGTTGACCCCACTTCCCTGCTTGGGTTATGTGCACTCAGCACGCAAAAGCTGATTTAAAGCCTGTTTTTCTTTTTTTTTCTTTCTTTTTTCTACTTGTTAGCGTTATCGTTAGTAGTAATAATAATAATAAAAAAGCCATGACTTATGTAAAGCAGTGAGAAGATCTATTGTGACTAGAGAGAACAGGGTCAAAGCTCCACGTTCATTTGATGATTATTGTTAATGTGTTCTCAGCACTATCTTTAATGACTGATGATGTTTTTCCCTCTCTTTCACAGAATAATGGGTCGTTGGTGTGGTGCCAGAATCACAAGCAGTGCTCCAAGGTAGTGCGGTTACATTTCTTTCATGAATGAGACACATGCCACATACATGCCTCATTATCAGAGGATAATACAAAATAAAGTGTACGAGTCACGACAGGACTGGTTTTGTCGTGCCTGCAGGAATCACGAGCTGTTGACATAGACTATCACAAGAAGAAAAAAAAAAAACTCTTTTCAGCTATTGCTTACTTAGATTGCTTCTGCTTTCATTGATGCTCATTTGCTATTATAATTGGGGCACAATTGAACAAGATCCGAAAAGGTTAAACGCCTGTCGGTTTTTTGAAAGCAAACCGTGATTGTTTTTGCTTTCCGCAGCCATTCGGAATGTCAGTCGGTTGCATTATGGTATGCCTCCCGCAGGGCTTGTTTGTGTTTTGTGCCCTGTCCCAAAGAAGGTTGATACAAAGCTGGCGTTGACAGCTCCCCTGAAAAGATAGTGCTGACATATTCTATCAGACTCTCACGGAGCTGTTGACAAGGCCCTCGGAGACGTTCTGTATAGACTGTAGACCGGGAACACTATGGAGCTGAAATAAGACGGAGGATGCGCCAGCGGAGCCCCGGTCTAAGTAGAAATCTCAACAATGCTTTCTGTAGCTGTCAAAGGCTCTCATCTCCTCATGGAGACGGTGACACCCGGATTCAGCGCTGTTAGCCCATTAGGACTCAAAATAGAGCAACACATATTCTCAGGAAGAAAGTTTTCCTTTTCCTGTGCGTCTGTTTTTCCCTCTCCTCTTGGTTTTCCTTCATGCTATAAAAACATCTCCAAATAACATATAGGAAGTAGGTTATTGCAAAGGTGATGACAAATTAGATGCAGTCCTCGTGTGGATTTATATGTTGTTGTTTTTTTTTTCAAAGTCCACAGACATTGGTGCACTCAAAGAGGAATGCATGCTGAGAAATTTGTGCAAAACACATCATTACAATCATGGTGATTAATTGAAAACTCATTAAAATACAGAGAGGCTGCAGTTATTTATGCTTACTTAACGTGGCCTCACATGCAGTATTCATATTAATCACAATCAGTGTCTAGTAGCGACTGCCTTGCAAAAATCACCCTTTGTGTTTGATTTCTAAACTCCTTTTTTGAATTTCAAATTGTTTCCGATGTAATTTGCATTTGCCTCGGATACAGCGGAGCTATTGTGCTTTGTGCTTCCTTTTACAACATCTGCAAATATAAAGCTAATTTATCTTGTTTTACTTAGAACATGCCTTCCTATCGCATTGATGAGTTTGTTCTAATTCGTGTGTAAACTGTAAAGCAGATCACAAGTTAAACTCCGCTAATACACTGCAGTAGTAACTGAGTTATGCCGTTAAACACGACGCGGTAACTGAAGAATCTGTTGATGCGGCTTAAGTTTGTCGGATCGTCGCTAAAACAAAATGTGTGATGAGAAACATGTGTCATTTGTCTTACTTTAAACATTCTGTGACAGGCAGTCAAGAAGGCGAACCTCTTTTGTTTTCACCATAATGCTGTGAGAGTTGTTTCGCTCCTTTCCACTGCGATAGCCAACATCAGCTCTTGGCACCCGTCGTTCGGCTGAGTTTAATGTTTGAAAAAGGGCTTTTGCTGGCTGCGAGTCTAAGGACAGCATACTGTTTTCATAATCAACCAGCTAACATTGCTGAGACTCTGCAAATGTCCAAAAAAGTCTTTAATAGACTTCTTGTTCTCCGTGCTATAACAGTCATGCCAGTTAGCACTTCTTTATCCTACTTGTAAGTTGTAAATACATGAGGCAAGATTTGATGTAAGCCCTTAAAAATAATGATATGCTTGTGTTGCTGTTGCTGCTGCTGCTGCGTTGCCTTTCCAGTTTCGAGGGCTCTCCAGATTTAATTCATTTTATTGTATCCTATGTTTTTTTCGAGTCAGTCGTTCAGGATGCAGGCCAGGGCATGGTGCTTAAGTTTAATTTGCAGCGAGAAGTCAATGTTTTCGCAGCAAACATCACCACGCTTCACATCCACATCAATGACTCGAGTGCACACTCAGGGCCTGTGTGCAGTGTGTCAAAACACAGAGCTATTGTGGCCACTCCAACAATTGTACCAAATGGGCCCATGCTGTACAGTGGTTCCCTGTGAATAGCTCTACAGCCACTGATTAGCCTCTTCACTTCATGAACAGCACACAGTCAAACAGAGAGACAAAGGCAGCGGCTCCGGGGGAGTGCGTTAGGGCAGAAGGCCTGTCCACCCAGCAGCTCCGTTAAAGAGCCACTGAGAGCTCCCTGCCTGTGAAGAAAATGCGTGGAAGGGCTGCCTAATAGTTTAGACAAAGATGCTGTGACCCCGTCCATCTGTCTGCGTTTTAGGAAATCAAAGCCTCCTGTTTCCATTTGTGATGAGAAAGTCATCCCGGTCATCTCGTGTGCGGCGTCCAGAGACGGCCCTGCTCTTAGTGCCCCCATTGTCATGGTAATTAACCTGCTTGCCCTCTCTCCAGAGCAGAGCGAGGTGGCATTTGAAGAGCTGGGGGAGTCATTATCATGCCATAACACTGGACCAGCAGACAAACTGCATTCAGCGGGGAGACGCCAGGAAAGCAGACAGCAGGCGTTTCTATGAGCCATTGTGATTTTGTCTCCTTACTGTTAGAGCTCCCCACTTGAAAAGTTTGGATGTGTTCCCTGAAAGTTTTTGAGAATAGAAAAAAAAAAAAGGAAAAAAAACAAAAACCCCAGGGTGTTCTCTTTTTCTACTGGGGTAAAAAAAATAGATTTTGTGTGTCTGCATGGGAGCAGCCAAGAAGCTTTCCACGTTCGGAGCATAGCTGATATTAGCAGGGTTGGCTTTCCCCCTGGGTGTGATCCAGGCTCCACATCAAATGTTAGGATTGACTTAAGGCAGCTAAATGCTGCTCTGCAACAAAGTGGTGCGCATCATTACTCAAACTCCTCTCAGGGAAGGACGAAAAGAAAGGACATGCGCATTACGCCTGGATAAGTTGGCCTGCGGTGAGTCACTGGAAAGTGCCCATCACTTTTAATTCCTGAGGAAGACAGCGTAATGTTCTCTCATCCTGAACTTTCCTCCATTGAGACTGATATCTCAATGACTTGCTGAGTGATGATCAAGCCGAGGAGATTTGCAATCATTAATATACCGTCATTGAGCGGGGGAGATACTGACTTAGCCTTACGTTTCTCTGTGAACAAGCCGCGCATTTACTTATCAAACATTTGCAGAAGCTTCAGAGAACGACATTGTCTGTTCGCCATTTGACGTCAATGAATCGTGCACGTCTTTCAGAGACGTCTCACGTGTCCCAGGTGGCTCTTTTGAGCGCTCTTTCCTATCAGTCACACCCTAAGCTGCGAATTCCAGCACAAGAATAAGAAGTGTTTACTCTTTTGGATTACATGCGCCTTCGTCTTCACATGTTGGAAGCTTTGGAGCGGTTTTCCTGAATAACAATCGCTGGAATGCTACTATGTCACATTCAAAAGTGTCTTTTCAAAGACCACTGTCAACCCCCCCCTCCTCCTCCTCGTCCTCCTCCCGCCTCTACCAACCCACACATTTTCTCACGCCAAAATAAAATGGTCAGACGTCCCCATCAGTTGTTCTCTTTTATCAGGGTCAGTCGAAGCTATAAAATTAATTGAGAAGCACCACCTTATTTCCAAGTTTACGCTAATCTTAATAAAGAATAAAAGCACTTTCACTTGGAGCTTTGAGCGGGTTTATGAGTCTTTTGTGTGGCCATCTTTTCTTTAGTTGGTTAGGTAGTATATTTTTTGAAGGTGCGCTGAGAAAGATGTGATAAAGTGGGTGCCGGTTGGTAGTTTTACAGCTGGGCATGGCCGGGATTGTTAGGTGCTTAGACAGACTTCAAAGCACCTTTTGGTCATGTTGAGGCCAGACATTCATCGCACCTCCCCGTGTTAGTCACATTACCAGCACCAACACCTCAAAGCGAGCTGGGCTGGAAATCAATCTGTCAAGTAGACTGTGTCTGGATTGCTTGTCAGTGTCTGCCAGTGTAGGTGTAAACAGAGTGTAAAATTTTACAAACAGCCCCAGCCAGTCTGACTTAATTTATTTCCCAATTACATATGTATGTGAAGCGAGTAGTGAATTTCGAGGAGATCATATAAAGAGGCAGCTCTGCAGTTTCTCTCCAGCCTTTTCTTCTTGTATTTTATCTAGTTCGAGGCAAGTGTGAGTGTATGTGTGTGTGTGGGTGGCAGAGGAGTGTGAAGCAGGGCTGGTCAGTCCCAGCAGGAAGGACCTGATCTGGACATGGTTGTTAAGTTTCATTGGTTAACGGGGGGGTCGCTTCATTGGCTGCTATCTGTGGAGCTCATTATTCACATGGTGGGTGGCAGGGAATGAAAACCCCCACAGCCAAAAAAAAAAAAAAAAAAGGGAAAAAACTAAAGACGTGGCCACAGGAGAAGAGGCGAAAGAGGCTGAGGAACTGCAGTTCAGACTTTCTTCAGCTCAAATCTAAAGCTCCTCTTTGCAATGCTGTCTGTTCAATATCTGAGTGACGAGCACTCCAGGAAATCCGCCTTGAAGAAATGAAATGCACTCGCTCTCTATCTCATACCAGCCAGTGTTTTTTTTATTGATTCTGAGTCTGAGGAGCATGGGGGCCTTTTAAATAGTGGCCATTTATTTATTTTTTTAAAAGATAATCAACCTTTCACAGATATCCTGATTTCCCATGCTCTCCCTGTCAGAAGGGATTTCATTCTCTTGAAGGATTAATGTAATCAGAGTTGCTGTGAAATCCTCTTTTAGCAATAATGACCAGACACACTGAGACAATCTGCTGTCATCCAAGTGTTTATTCCCAATCTGAGGGTGTATTTGCTGAATGACATAGATTACAGCTATAAACTTTTGACTATCGTTTTCTTCCCAAACTCACGTGTTCAGAGGTGCTGGAAGAAGAAGAAAAAAAAAAAAAAGGAAAAACGTCTGCAGCCCTATTTATGGCCGGTAATATTTTGCCAACAGTCACATTG